TGTGTATTGCTTTTGTTTTTAGTCTCTCTCCAAGACGGCAAGGAGAGACGACATATTTCTTTGTTCTGATTTATGTAAAATAAATCCATGGTTTTAGTAGGTATCTACAGCCTCAAGCCTCTTCTGTTGTGCAGTTTACTCTGTTAAGTAAAGTGTGTTCAAGTCAGCAAGCCTGATTTACGTCAGAGCCAGAGGTTGATGAATCTCTGCAGCACAAAGGCTGAGAGGGAGACTATCGATCCCCAGATGCCGACAGAATCATGTTGAATAAACAAGGTGAGAAGTGTCTACGCTGGAGGGGCTCACAACATTAACACCCCAGAAGGCCTGGTTTCTCCCATAGCCACAGCCTTGGATTCAAACATAAATCAAACATCTCTCTCTCTCTCTCTCTCTCTCTCTCTCTCCGGCTTGCTGCTTTTCTTCATTCGTTTCAATGGGTCTACTTTGTGACTACGACTTATAACACCTGCACGCAGATTGCATACAAAACTATAAAACCATCTTGTTTCCTTAGGCAGCAATATTGTACCCATTACAACAAAGGAGACATGCATTCAAGTATACATGGCTGACAAAGGCAGGGGGTTCTCTTTGAATATGACATTTTGTTTTGCTATCTGCAAATCTAACATTAACATGAATCTTTTCAAGGCCTTGAACTGTCATTTCTTGTACGGTTCATCAGTTCCCTTCTGGTAAAAGTAACACAACACTTATCCTCGTTGGACTCTGTTGTGTTGAGTAGTTTTCTGTGCATTAGATATACAGTGGCACCTCGGGTTAAGAACTTAATTCGTTCTGGAGGTCCGTTCTTAACCTGAAACTGTTCTTAACCTGAGGTACCACTTTAGCTAATGGGGCCTCCCGCTGCCGCTGCGCAATTTCTGTTCTCATCCTGAAGCAAAGTTCTTAACCTGAGGTACTATTTCTGGGTTAGCAGAGTCTGTAACACGAAGCGTCTGTAACCCAAGGTACCACTGTACACTAAATAACTGCACTGGTGTGACATTATCAGAGTCAATCCCCAATGAGAGCCCATGCGATGTAGACTAGGACACAGGAAGGTGCCTTATACTAAGTCAGCGTATTGGTCCATCTAGCTCAGTACTGTCTGTACTCATTGGCTATGGCTTTCCAGGGTTTCAGGTAGCACGCATTTTCAACTCTGACTAGAGGCATTGAACCTTGAACCTTTCAGATGCAACGCAGGGTCTCAGCCAGTGAGCTATGCCCTTCACCACACTGGGAAAGCTTTGCTTCCATTCCCTGATCAGCAATAAAAAATAAAACTGAGTGACTATCTCTCAGCCTAACTTACCTCAAAGGATGTTTTAAGGATATAGTTGATTTGGCAAGCAGGGAAAGAGATGGTACCCTGACTTCCATGGAGGAAACACGGGATAAAAAATGAATGAGCAAATATTACTGTGTTGCTTGCTTGTGTAATCCGACTCATAAGGCAGGAATTTAAGCAAAAATGTGGCAACACCAATTGAGCTAAACAATGCACGAGTAAGAGTTGACAGTAACCCACCTCAGACAAAACTGCCCCCAAAAATCTAGATGCTCAAAATGTTCAGAAAACCAGAGGACAGCTTAATATTTCAGACAGCCCAATTTCAAACAAGCAGTCACACAAAATAAATGGGAGGATTCCAGTTGTTTCAAAAATATTTTACTATATTAACAAGTAATTACATTCAAATTCTTGTGCTCTCAGTAATGGACTTGCATTGATACACTTAATTTTTAATGCATTTTTAAAAATCACAAAATACACAATCCTAGTGGTTTTTCTATAAAAGATCCCAGAGCATGAATAAAAGGCATGTTGCATTGATATATTGGGCATATTGTACTGGTCAAATGGCACTATTTTATTGAAAGTTGCATAAGAGGAACTTTTTGGGAGCCCCAACTGGTGTTACGAGTATAGAAAAATGCTCATTTTACTTGTAATTTGAAAAGGCGAAAAGTTACAGAGACATACTGTTCACAACTAAAGGTGAAACTAAATTAAGACATGGCCTAGCCATTATTAGATGGAGGAACATAAAAAACAGTCCCAAAGTTCCCATGAGTTTATTATAAATGAAGAACCGGGTAGATTAATCTGGCATGTCACAGAGACAGCTATGGTATGTTCATTATTCCCAATGTGCTAGCCTTGTACACACAGGCATATTTTTATTTTATTTTTGTATGAGGGGAGCATTCAGAACTGCAATCCTTTATGTGCAGTCTGAAGTGGTGCAGTGATGGAAGCAGTGCCAGATTTACGTATAAGCTAAACAAGCTATAGCTTAGGGGCCCGCTCTCTTGGGGGCCCTCCAAAAATGTAAAGGGAAAATAAACTGGATGTCCTGGATCAAAAACTTTGATAAAATACATTTGTTATGTGCAAATGGTTCTAGATACCTATTAGGTCCATAAATTACCATATAGAATATATCCAAAACAAAAAACAGTGACAATTTGTTGTTGACAAAGGACAGCTGGACATATAATGGGCCCCATTACCTTCAGTAGCTTAGTGCCTCATCAAACCTAAATCCAGCCCTGGCTGGAAGTATTCTACCATATGACTGTACTGAACGTGTATGTTGCCCTGAAAGAGCTCTACTGATGCTAAGACAGGAATAATCCCAGGGCTGGTATAATGGAGCATACATGTGAAATTGCTACAAAGGGATCACTACTCATTGCTTCTTTTTTACAATTCTATTTATCTTTGCTCGTCAACTGCAAAGATTGGAACTGTTTTCCTGAGGAATGAACGTGGTGTGCCAATTTCTCTAATTTGTGCGGCAGGTTACTCAACACATTCTGATGTCCCTGTTCGATTCTCTGTACACTTCCCCCCCCCTCCAGGTTGTCGTTTGGGGGACATGTGGCACCTCTCAGAGGTCTGGCACGGGACCTCCAAGTTACTAAATCCTCAAAGCTATGCACAGCATGTCTAAAGAGGAAAAGGGATCCCAGCAGACAGTTTAAAGAAATTAAAAATTCAGGATTGCAATGGCCAAGAGGTTACTTGGTTTAGAACTGCTTATGAATCTAGAATCTACTTGCTAGATGAAGTTCACAAGGAGAATGGGGAAAGGGGGGCAGAGGATGCCTTGTGATGAAAATAACAGAAAGGGGCTATTTAATAGCTCTTGCTGACTAAATGAATCACGGGAATGGATATCAGAAGCAATGTGTCACAACACAGAACTCCTTAACCGGCAGGGATAGTCTCCATAACATCTGCTGTCTGTATCATGGTGTAATGAACTACTTTTACTTCTAAAACTGTATTTTTAGGACTCTTTCAAGGACTCGCATCCCAAGGTATTGCACATATGCTGTGATGGAACCACAGCTCATTCCTGCACAAGAGAATTTTGTCTAAATGCCCAAGACAAATATTTAGACGACTACTACTACTACTACTACAATTAAAAGCACTGAGATTTTCCTACTGTAATTTTCTTGTTTTTTTAAATTTGATGGCATGACAGCCTCGAATTCTCATTTTACTAATATAAAATGGATGTTGGTTTCACCTTTGTCTAATGGGATTCAACAGCAACGCAATAGTCCGAATACCAAAGGCTGTCTAGAAGTTTTATTTCACACTGCCAATAACTTCAGAGTCTACACTTGAAACATGGCTTTAAGCACCAGTTTTCGTAAGTATGGCAATGTATGGAAGTTACAGCTTCATGCAACCTCAAGATCCCATATATGTAACTTTCTAGCAAAAAACCAAACCCCTGAGAAACAAAAGGATGATAATAGGAATAGCCAGAACTATGGCAGGGTAGTACAATTAGGAATGAAACATGCGCTCGGCAGTCTAACAATTTTATGACTATGTAGAAGCAAAACCCCTAAGAGCAAAGGGGTGCTCCCTCTCATCTTCTACTTGCCATATAAAAACCATAGTGGTGCTAATGCAGAAGCAGTCATGTTCCACAAGGCATTGCGCATGATCAGATAGCGGCCTAAGATAGCAAATGAGGCTGTGCGTTCTCCTCCACGCTGCAAGAAAGAGGTGGCTCCTCCTAGAAATCTGGTGAACATCAAATTTGCCCACAGGTTTCCCAAACCAAGACATGGCATATGTGCACAGAAGCCTGCTTCAATGCACATGTCTCCCTTATTGCAACAAGGCATATAAATATAAATATCTGTATATCAACAACAACAAGGAGGCACAATCCATCACGCCCAACTATTGTGAAACTGCCAATCCATTTAATAAGGCATGTGTGGGAATTTAAAATAGGGAGAGCAGGTCTGTGGTTCTCAAACTGCTTCAGTGTAAACCCAGCAACAGGAACAACTGAGTGCAATTGCTATGAAGATGCTGTACTTGCACTGCATTATTCTTCATTCTAACCTAAGCTGCATATACACTTTACTGTTAAAGCACATTCAAAGCATATTTTCCTCTCAAAGAATTCTGGGCACTATAATTCATTCATCGATGATAGGAAATGCAGTTCTCTAAGGGGTAAACTACAGCACCTAGAATTTTGGAGAAGACTGTGTTTTTGATGTGTGTATACAGTCATAGATTTACCACTTTGGAGCAGATGATACTGGAAAAGAATTCCCAGGATAATGGCATCTTGTTTCAATCCTCAAGCTTTTGCATTAAATATTTACTTTTTTAAAAGAAAAAAGATACTATTTTCCAAGAACTTTCCCCGTTATCAAGGCATTGTCCGTGGCACATCACACACACAAAAATAACAGAAAAAGTTAAGTCCGACTATCTACAGGGTTTATGTTTTCAAATGCTAGCAGCAAGCCAGCATAGTAGTTCTACATCTTCCACAGTTTCCATTCTAAAGTGCAGTGTCATTAATGCATTTCCCTTCTTTAAAAGACTTAATTGCTCTGTCACATTATTTCCCAGATTTTTAAAGTTCTGTATTTTTAATGTGACAGTGCCATAAGCTTATAAAAGTCAACTTAAAATAAAGTCAAATTAGGATTTTTTAAAAAAAATAATGTTTTAAATGAACCGTTTAAAACAAACCTTTAAAGACCATGTACTCCAGGCACCATTCAAAAATAAAATCAAAGATATAGAGTACTTCTTTCAGAAAGATCCCCGATATCTTTCCTTCTGCTACAAAACCTGCATGCAGGCATGACTAGGAGAAACTGCTGCTTCCACCTGTGTCATCTACATAGATGCATATGTGGGTGCTGGTGAAGTTTTTCAATTAGCTCTTCCTCTGTAGGTTCTTCCAAAACATCCCTAGAAGGACAAAACAGGAGCCATTAGAAGTCAACAGAGCTAATGTCTCAGCACAGATTTTGCACACCTTTATGTACTCTAGATATGAGGGACATGGGTGGCGCTGTGGTCTAAACCACAGAGCCTAGGGCATGCCGATCAAAAGGTTGGCAGTTCGAATCCCCGCAACGGGGTGAGCTCCTGTTGCTCGGTCCCTGCTCCTGCCAACCTAGCAGTTCGAAAGCACGTCAAAGTGCAAGTAGATAAATAGGTACCACTCCGTTGGGAAGGTAACCGGCATTTCCATGCGCTGCTCTGGTTCGCCAGAAGTGGCTTAGTCATGCTGGCCACATGACCAGGAAGCTGTACGCCAACTCCCTTGGCCTATAGAGTGAGATGAGCGCCGCAACCCCAGAGTCATCCGCAACTGGACCTAACGGTCAGGGGTCCCTTTACCTTTACATACTCTAGATGCAACTTCTACAGTCACTTGAACATTAATAACCTATGTGGTGGCACACACTTTCTAAGTTGGTCTTCAAGGTACAGTTCACCCACAAAATGTTTTACAGTTATCCCATATGCCCTTGCAGAGAATATAAAAGAATCCAACATCAAAAGGGGATTCACTCTCTTTCAATCAGGGAAAATAATACATCTTTCTAAAATCTGGTACCACACTGTGTCTTGACTATACTGTGTCTATAAGGTTGGTCCCTATTGAATATTCTGATCTTTAACAGTTAAAGAAACAATCACTTGTGCAACACAAACTTCGCAGCCCTTAGGGAAATTCTAGTGTCAACAGCCATTCAACTAGTCCTAAAAACGTGTTTTAAATCAGGAAATAAGATGAAGCACTCCATACTCACCGGAACATGAGTTCCATTGTCATCTGGTATTCAACTTCTGAGAGAGATGGTCGATGGCAGAGACGGTCCCATTTATGGATAAAATTCTGCCAGTCAAGAGAAAGAATGGGAAGAGGGCTATTTCAGGTGGTCTTTCTGAGAGGTTCTCATCTCCACACCCACCAGGCAAGCATGACTCTACTCATGGAAGCAACCATTCATGGAAGCCTCGCTGTATGCCTCATAAAAGTGAGGTGCACCAGGAGCAGTGGAAATCTGCTCTCCCAGATTTCATGGAAGTTGGTGGTGAAACTTCCATGACTTACCTGCCCCTAATCACCACAGCAGCCTTTCTGTGCTGAGTAAAAGACAGACAGTTTGAACCCACTCTAAGTCTCAGGATGTAAGGTGGCCCAGGCATGGACAAGGCTTTTGAAATCAGTCTAAATATTGTTTGGGAGAGGTATTGTAGGGCTAGACAGATATGTCTAAATGGCCATCAGAAAAATAAAATAAAAAAGATGTTTTCATTGTATTTGGGTGTCAAGTCATTTAAGGCTTTGTACACTGGTTCTAACACTTTGGGCCTAGTAGTTCATGTGCGGGCAATGCAGTTCCCTGAGGAAGGGGGTGGTATATCTCTTGCCATATCGTACAGCAAGTGGGCAGCAGTGTTCTGCACTAACTGCAGCTTCCGGGCCATCTTCAATAGTAGTCCCATGTAGAGGGAATGGCAGTAATCCATCCAGGAACATGGGTCACTGAGGCCCACTGAGGCCTCTTGGTCTAGGAATAAACACAGCCAGTGAACCAGCTTTATCTGGGTATATGTGACATCCCTTGCCTCCAACAACTGCTTAGAATTGAGGAGCAGCCCCAAGCTACATATCTGCTCTCTCAGGTGATTTGCTACCCTGTCCAGAACAGGCTGACAGCCCTGCGCCTGGACCTGAGCCCTAAGGACCAACAGGGCCTCCTTCTTGTCAGGCTCCAGTTTCAGTTTACTGACCCTCACCCGGTTCAGCAACTGAACAGCCCAGTCTGATTCAGATGGAATGGAGAGAAAGAGCTGGGCATCATCCGCATACTGACAACATTGTGTTCCAAATACTGCCTGTACAATAGCATAGCTTGCCTATTCCATTTATCCATCAGAGGGTTTGCTATTTCAAGAAGAACAAAAAGTGAATTCTCTTGTGATAATTAAGCCCATCGGCATTACCTCCAGAAGCAAAGCAATGAACAGATTGACCCAGATGACAGAGGAAATCAGCCACCAGGAGACAAAGTATAATTTTGACCATCTAGGGAGGGAAACAGATACATATATTTAAAGATAATCAAATAGCACCTATTATTCCAAATGAATGGGTTGGATCCAGACTTAATCATGCTTAGGCTAAGCCCATTGAAATAAATGGGATTTAAGTTAGTCAGGCATCATCAACTCTAGATTCAACCCAATGAGTGCTGCTCATGCAGGTGGACCGGCAGCCCACACACACTGGCAGACCTTCAGAGGAGGTCATTCAAAAAACACCGCATTGCAAGTTACACAATCAGGGCATATTCCAATCCCAGCTCTCCCCAGTCATGAAAGATGAAACACAGCATTCCAAGAATTCTTTCTTCCAATATGTATGCCTGTGTGAATAGACATGAGCTTCAAAACATATAGACCAGCCCTGGTAAGTGACATGGAGCAGATTCGAGTTCTTTTTTGTCTAGCAGAATGGTCACCTTTAAGACTATCCCATTTCTCTTTATTTTTGCTCTGGACTTCACAAGGGATCCATGTGTTCTACTGGGGATAGGTCTCCTAGCTTACACATTTTCAAAAAATGAAATCATAAGCATGGTCCCCATAACCCTGGATGCAGCCTGATCTCCATTAGGGGGTTATCCTACACTGTTTCTTAAAACTGCAGATTTTAGAGCTTTCCTATCATGCCCTGATATGTGCCTCTTTCTCCCACCCCATTCGCCCGCCCACCAAACAGTACAATTTTTCTCATTCTGCTGTTCTTATAGGTTTCATTTATCATCCATAAAAGTTTTTTTTTTAAAAAAAAAAAGAACAAAATGTTGTAGAGAACTTTAAGAAACCTCACTCGCTTGGTTGGTCCTGATAAAGGGACTATCTGCTGGTTGCTTTGGGGTTATTTCTAAAGGGCCTACAAAATGCATCTCTCTGCGCTGAGTTTCTGAAGCAGCAGCACATGGCACTCTCCATACTGCAGAAGCAGACCAATTCTCTTCCCCCCAAAATGCAAAGATCTTTTTTACTTTGGAGACATCTGCCAAATGTACAGCTTCTGCCCATTACTTACGGAGATGAGTATCTGGAATATGCATCCAAGAAAACCTGCCAGTTGTTCACAACCATCACATCCCACAAAGTCACCAGGGATGCCTGAGGGACAAGAATGAAAAAAATGAGCCATAATGGAGATTATTCTAATTTGAGATTTAGAAGCAACAGCAAAGAGAGGAAACTGGTAGGTCTCAGACTGGTAGGGTAAATGTTGAAAATGACAAGAAATCCCTAATGAAAACACTCACCGCAAAGTCATCGAAGTTGTTTGGCCAATACTGCAGCTGTTCAAAGGTGCCGCACTGCAAAGTGGCATTTGTTGCATTGACACCACTATAAACAGAAAATAAGCGTAAAGTAGTTTCATTATTGCGCACAATGCATTGCAGGACCAGATGAGATGCTGCTCTGCAGCTGGCTATGTTTGCACATGGAAATTACAACAAATTTTGCCTTAAAGCCACATTTAAGTGAGACTTACCTGATGCTTCCCGTAGGAGTAATGGCACCCCTAAACAGCTCCATCCCTACTATTGCAAACGCATAGAAAACCACCTGGAGAAGAATGAATTGGGCATCAGTTATTTTCTATTGCTAAGCTACCAGTGCAAAGTCACTGGCAAGACGGTAGTCATTTTATAGGTAAGCTCAACGTTTTCCAGAGCACGCTAATCTTTGTTCACTTTTGAATTTTAATATAAGCAGTTTGGAAAAGAAGCGAAGACAGCAAAACCTCAAAGCACCTGCTCTGTAGTAATCTCACTGAAGCAAAATACAAGCCCTAGGAGCAGATTCATACACGGATGGGTGGCTCGCTCCAGGATCTTGGTGCATGCTCCTTCATGTGCCTTCTGGGCTTATTCAGATGACAGCATCATGTGCCCTTTCTGAATGCCTGCCTTGCTTTTCTAATACAGAACAACAAACCCCTGTGTTGCAAGCTTAACACAACAAACAACACAAGCAACAAGACCAGTATACTAGATAGCACTGTAGTTCTTATTGCATAATATACATGATTTAGTACAACAAAAACAAAATGTGTACACTTGTAAATTTTCTAATATATTCGAAAACAAATGAACACACGTCTGTCAATCTTTGAAAGTCCATAAAAAGTCTATGTTTGAAACAAAGTTATAGATGCTATCCTGTGGGGTGAGCGGTGTTGTTTATTGCCTTGCTTTTCTGGCTTTGAGGATTGTGGTCAAACTTTCTAAAAGCCCTAATTATACCCACTGGCACATACAGATACAGACACATAAAAAGGAAGCTTGTGCTTGTCTGCAGCACATAGCTTATGGTTCGTGGAACAATCATTGGCCACATTATGATTCTCAGTGTCCTGACACCCACGATTGCTTTGCTCAATTTTAAATAAATAAATAAATCATAGGAACATTTCCAACAGCTATCTATATTCAGATCAGAGATGACAGGCCCCTTTCCTAAGGGATTTGCCATCTAAAATATAGGCACATTGAAACAAGAGAGGAAGATAGGAAACAGAAGAACAGGCAGTTGAAGGAAAGTGGCTATTTAAAACAAAAACAACAAACTTTTGCTTCTGGCCTTACTGGGATAGTTATCTGTTCCTACGCTTCCGTGATAGAAAACTCCCACTAATTGTCTGACAAGCTATTTGAGGGATTTATCTTCACCTTGCAATTCCTAAATATGTCAACAGATGGCACTTCACCCTTTAGGACAGAGCTTTCTAAACTGTGTGTAGCAAACATTCGTGTGTTGGCCGCAGTGTGTAAGTGCTCCTCCTGGGGCTGGAAAGGGGTTAGTTTAACCTCCGGTTTGCTAGTAAAACTGAATTGCTGTGTCATGAAATGAAGCATGTCTAAAAAGTGTGCCACCAAGGTGAAAAGTTTGGGAAGCTCTGCTTTACGACAACTCTTATTTGTAGCCAATTAAGTTTTACTCTGATTACCCAATGGGTTTGATCAGTGGATTTACTATGAGTAAAAATTAGCTGACTACCACCCTTTACTTTTATATAAGCATCTTGTATATTAAAAAAAACAAAACCATAAATGATGCCACACATTATTACAGATAATGCTGTGATAATGGTGACCATACTGATCCCACTAGGGTGGCCAGAGTTTGCTTACATATATTCCATTGCCAAATATTGTTTTATAAATCTATTTCATTAAGATGAAACATAGAAGGAGAAATGAATCTTTCTTGGCTTTCACTTACCACTAAGATCCCTGCGAAAGATCTTATGTTTTTCACAAGGTCCAACAGTGTACTGGCAACTAAGGACATGAACTGGAAAAAGAGACAGAATCATTAGGATTTTTTTAATTTTAAAAATAGTTCTTATACTTATGAGAACAGAGACTATAACCAAAATTCAGATAAAAGCAACACAGTGAAGCAGAAGTACCTTTATGTTAGGGATGATCCGCAGAAATCGGAACACAATCAGCATGTTTGCCAGGCGAACCATGTCCCACAGAGAGAGCAAACCCAACATTTCAGGCCTCCTAGAATTAAGATACGAACAAAACAAAACAAAAACCTGGGAGAACGAACCAACACTATAAACTACAACTGCTTTTCTAAGCCAACTAAAAGTGTGATCTTACTCAAGCAAGATGTTCATGCCAGTATTGGAAAAAGGAACACAATGCCACACAGTCTTAAAATAACACCTTTGCCTTAAGAGTTATAAGCTGATAATGGCACAGTGATTTGCCCATCCTCAGATCACAGTGATGTGACTATTTCAAGTGTTAATATGGCAGTGGGGAGGGTGCAGCGGGCGAAATCAAGCCTATTTGCTATCCTTTCCAAGCTACAATGTTCCAACTGGCCTGCAACCCTCTTATCAAACTCCATTTTAAAGGGGCTTGAGACTGAAGAGAAATACAACATTTTGGCTATGATCATACAAAGCCCCATGGCTGTAAGCCTGCTCTTTGCTCTAAAAGAATTTTCCACTGTCCACTGCAGATACTTTCAGATCCCCATGTAATACAGATGATAAACCACTATGTCCCTCCTTACAGTGCCACATCATCATAATCATCAATATATTCCTACAAATAAAGAGATACCAGAATCAACCACTATCAGACAAAGCAGTTGATTTTAGAGCTGGATGTGAGACAGCTCTTGGTCACATGTTTCTAGTCCCACTTTTCCTCAGCAATAACTTCTAGCAAGAAGCAAAGTGGATGTTGGTTAAAGCATCAAAAGTTGCTGGTTTCTGGAAAGCTGAAATTGCTTACAAAGAGCACATACCAGCCTCGATGAGGAAATCCATAGACAGCAAATGTCGACACCTCCAAAACCTTTGAGAAGAAGGAACAGAGCAAAGCTATAGCAATTTCAATCGTTATTTAATAACTGAAATTTAAGTAGTATAAAATATCTATTAGAAACAAATGTCCTATTAACATGCTGGGGAGGGATCTTTATTACAAGCAAGGTCCTAAAAGTTTTCTTTCTTTCTTTTCTCTGCATCCAACAAAGTTGTTTTCACCCATGAAGGAAATATAACCAACACAGTCATACTTTTAAACTCTTACAAACAGGAAGTTATTTTCTGATTTGACTGTGGAAAACACACACACACAGCCTAGGTGAAGTCACATGTACATTCTCTTTACCTATCCTATCCTGCAGCCAGCAATTTGTGGTCAGTGGTCATCTTTACAGTAAAAAAAACAACAACAACCACCCAGAATGGAACTTGCGTAGCAATACTCACCATCAGAACTACAGTCAGAAGGCCATCAAATATGTTGCTTGGATAAGATATGTATCTTTTTAATCCCAGTGCTAGAATTTTCAATGACATTTCCAGGAGGTAGTAGAAAATGAAGACACAGTTTATAACCTTGAAAATTTAGAATTGAGATGCACATTAAGAATTGAGCATTTGGAAGAGCAACTCTTACAGAGAAAGACAGAGAAAGTGGCCTTACCCCTAAAAAAAAGTCATCCCGCGCAGCAGGTTGCTTATCTGCATCTAGTACCATGACCACCTTAAGGGGAAGAGAAACGGAAACTGGTCAGTTGGCACCAAACTTTTAAACTACAACATTATGAAGTGTCCAGAGCAAAGTTGTTCAGAATTGATGCCTAGCACATAAAGCAAGATAGAAAAAGGACCAGACCGTAATTATGTTATAAAGACTGCATTCTCGCCCACTGACCATGGCAGCAGTCAAATATTTCGGGAATCTTCAACAGTTAGGACATTCCTAACAGTATATCCATGCATCTCTCATTCCCTTCCTGCAATAGATTCAGGCATCCCCCAATAGGAAGACAAGAAATCTCTAGCTGTGCAGTAAAAGCCACTGCACTTCAAGGGCCAGCAAGAATAGCAGCTATCTGATTTGCTTTGTTTTTGCTTTGTGTTGTTGTAATTGGCATGCAGATACTGTTGGACTCCCATCAACCTCAGCCAGCATGGCCAATGGTCAAGGCTGCTGGAAGCTGCAGTGTGGCAACATCTGGAGGGCCACTGGTTCCCCACCACAACATTATCAGTTACTGGGGAGAAACAACAGGAAAGGGCTATCGCTGTGCTTCCTAAGAATATCTGCCTGGCTGCAAGTGGAATCAGGATGCTTCCTGGAGTCTTGGTCTGATTCAGCAGGGCTTTTCTTATGAGAACAATTGCTTCACAGAAAACGATGAGGGAACTGGGCTACTAAACTGCCCTGCTAAAACTTGCCTTAATGTAAAATCACTACTGTTTGACACATGTTATACTTACGCACACAGACAAAACGTTTGCTACAGCAACAGCATTCCCCAAATAGCCAAAGTAACGGTGACCAAAGACAATTTGGATTCTCTGTAGAAAAGGTGACTGATAATCTGGCCTGGGAGGACGCTGAAAGGAAAGGATATGAGTCTTGTCAACATGACCTGTTGTTTCTTCAATAACACATGGCATTGAGGAGGCATCTCTTTGGCTTAGGATATGTATCCCTGAGGCCTGCTGCAACAGCACTGTGACAGCTCCACACCTGCATGCAGCCCCTCCTTAGAGACCAAGAAGAAAAGGGTGACAGGGAAGCTATCCCTACCCAGAAATCTCTGAGTGCAACAAGATTAATTCCCTGGCACAACACAATACCCGCAGTTAATCATTTATTTGCTTAAAATGTCAAAAAAACAACAACCCAAAAATGGAATAAAAAGGTCCAGTTATCAGCACTGATCATCAATCAAAGGGGTACAGTTAGTAGAAGATGATCTCGCTCAAATGACAGACTGTACAAATCTCTTGCATCGGTTATGGCATATTTACGCCAATCAGTCAACAAAAAACCATTCTTACCACAATGAGCCAGCTCAACATTACTACTAATCAGAATCTTTAGAAGTCCTTCTCTGGGAACCTTATATAACTGGCAGAAAGGTATATTCTGAACAGTTTTCATATGCATAGGGCAGCATTTCCCAAACATGGGTCTCCAGCTGTTTTTGGACTACACATCCCATCACCCCTGACCACTGATTCTGCTGGTTAGGGATGATGGGAGTTGTAGTCCAAAAACAGCAGGGGACCCAAGTTTGGAAACCTCTGGCATAGGGGATCTTTGTCTTATATCTTAATTTTTAATTTTCTGCACATTTTTTGGAGCAGTCAGACCCTATTCAGAAAGCAGGGATTCATATCTCACTGACCAGCTATAATATATTCTGTTCAGCTTTGCTTTCTTTTATTGGTAGGGGAGCAGCAATTTTCCAAATATGCTTTGAGATTTAGGAAACACAGGAGCCCTATGCATTCGTGAGCCATATATAGAACACTCCTGGGTAGCAGCAGGAGTGGGGCCACACATCTATTCCCATCACTGATGTTATGCCCTTGCCGTTAAACTGCCCTCAACCTTCACATATTGAGCACTGAGGTCTGAAAAGGGAATCCACTGCAAAAGAGCAGCCCACGCACAGAGGCTCTACACAAACAGGACACCCATGCCATTTGGTGTCCCAGTTGCACGGAGCTTAGATGTGTGATCAGCTGCTTGCCTGAAGGGCCCATTGAGGTAGAAACAGTGATGCACCATCAAAGGCAGGGCTTGAAGTGCAGCCCCACTCCTACTGAAGTATGGGAGTGCCCTACACTCAAGTAGACACATCATTAGAGCTGAGAGGAAACAGAAATTGAAAGGTTACTGTTCTGCAGAGAAGCAAATGCACAAAAAACAAACAAATCCCTATTCGCAACTATTCACTTTAACTTTATCCAAGCAATTCTTTATTAGAACAACTCAGTATTAACTGCAGCTCCTTCAAGAGTACTCAGACTCAAAAAAGCTAGAAAATGTGAATATGTAAATTCTACATTTTATGCCATAGGGACGCGGGTGGCGCTGTGGGTAAAACCTCAGTGCCTAGGACTTGCCGATCGTATGGTTGGCGGTTCGAATCCCCGCAGCGGCGTGAGCTCCCGTCTTTCGGTCCCAGCGCCTGCCCACCTAGCAGTTTGAAAGCACCCTTAAGTGCAAGTAGATAAATACGTACCGCTTTATAGCGGGAAGGTAAACGGCGTTTCCGTGTGCTGCGCTGGTGCTGTCTCGCCAGAGCAGCTTCGTCACGCTGGCCACGTGACCCGGAAGTGTCTCCAGACAGCACTGGCCCCCGGCCTCTTAAGTGAGATGGGCGCACAGTCGGACACGACTGGCCCGTACTGGCAGGGGTACCTTTACCTTTACTTACATTTTATGCCAGGTAAAGGGAGGAAAGTTACATGCATGATTCAGATGCAACTTTCATGACTAACACATAGCACGCTTCTCAGTAAACTTGTACACCAGCCCCAAATGTATAATCAGCATTTGCCAGGCTGGTACCCTGCAGATGTTTTGGGCCACAGCTCCTATCTGCCTCAGCCACCACACCTGGAGGGAACCTGAAAAGCTGGCATAAATGAAAGCCAGGTCCATACCTCTTTAACTTTGTGTTTGTCCAGTTCATCAAAGAGTAATTGAAACTGAGCAGAGGTCAGACCTCCTGGGGGACACAACTCAAGGTTCTGCATAAACAAGAGAAACTGGAAGTTAACACACCAGTGTTGTTGTTCAATAACATTTTTTGAATAAAATCCAACTTCTTAAGTAAAAAAGGTAATTCCTACCCTAATGATTGCTTCCTTGCAGTCAGGATCCATTTTTACTCTATGAAGAACTTGAGCTAGAGTCTCTGCCTGGACACGCAAGCTACATAAACAAAGTTACAATGTGTGAGAAGGAATCATTAACTTTCTGTTCCTTGTCACTACCCACCCTATGTGTGCTTGACGCCGTTCACTCACATGTTCTTATTGAGAGAAGTCTCCTTCAGAGAACAAAGAACTTCAAAGGCAGCCCGGATTCCTAAGCGCCTTCGGAAAAGTGAGGATTGAACCGATTTCTGAAACGGGAAGAAAAAATATATCCGCCAACACATAGGAGAAAGTTACAGGCATGAAGAACATGAAGAACTAGAGAAGAGTCGCTCTGTTTTGAAAGTGTCACATGGAGCAGAACACAAATCAAAGGTGCAAGTTCAAGACAAAAGTCACTGGGGGGAAATCCATCATGAGCTCCTGGCCTTCAGAACATCTTCATTGGCTGAACTGATTTTCTCACTCTTGCAGGTGAGGTGGCCAGATAAGCATCTCCTTGGGAAATGTTTGCTCACAATTTTGGTTTATGAAACGTTAAAGAATACGATTCCACCTCCATCACACAAGACAGCTGCAATGTGTACGTAAAAATCACAACCATGTATATGTGGAAGGGAGCGAATCGTGTGGATATTCCTCACTCTGCCATCTCCCTCCTAAGGTGGCAATCACATGGGAAAGACCCTAACCACCCACTCATGTGCTTGCAGCAGCAGCCACACATACAACACAAGCACATGAGAGCCAACTGTGCCACAGCTGTATTCATCCATGCCATAGCCAAAATCTTCTACCAAAGACTCCCTAAAGCCCAGATTCCTGAAGGCTGTTGAAATACCCCAACAGCAGGAACTTCCTGCGCAGAAGCCCATGCTAGGTTTCATCATTTCAACAATATGTCATTTAGGCTTTACTCACCAGAAGATAGCCACGAAACTGATTGTATATTATTGCTGTCAGCAAGTTCATCAGAAATAAGTTCCCTTAAGAAAAGAAAAAAAATATTTACTTTAAAAAAATATAGAAGCTGTGCTGTGTTTGTTCAACTGTAAACTGAACAGAGACCCATATGAATGCCCTAAGAATTTGCATCAAAACTGCAAAAATAAGCAGAATTCCCAAGGTAAGCTGGTAAAATGGGAATTTGCTAGAATCATTTTACCACAAGTATGAATGCCACATTTTAAAACCTGTTTGTTCTAGTACACTCTTTCCAAAGGAAGGAAGAAGGTACCTTGTTTTTTTTTAAAAGACTGGCTTAAATAACTTTACGATGTATGAAAGTATAATGAATTTTAATCAGGTGTATTTTAAGTGTCAATAGTGTATGGGAGGTAATTTCTTCTGTCCCTAAATGTTATTTTATTTTCCCAGAAAAAGCCTCAACTTCGGTAGAATACAGGGGAGGATGGGGAGTATAGTTAGGGCGCTTCCAAACAGAAGCTTAATTTGCAAACTGGTTGGTTGTGTGTGTGTGTGTGTGTGTGTGTGTGTGTGAGAGAGAGAGAGAGAGAGAGAGAGAGATATTCCTCCCCCACCGATCAAAAATGTAAATCTGAGTTAAAATGGGGAGAGGGATATTTTAATGCCAATGATGTCCTTGGATGCTGTGAGGGGAAAATGCATGAATGAGGAATACCAATCTCACAGAAGTCTGGAAACACCCTTATATAGAGACAAATAAAACAAAGGTCACACTGAATGACTTGCATAGGGATCTTATTCAAATGAAGTGGCAGCTTACCTATTACAGTGAAGAATATGAAGAAGATGGAATATGCTCTGTTCTTAGAGTAGGCAGGAATCATCACTGTACAACAATTTTTAAGAAGGTTAGAAAGTAATAATGAATATATAAAATGCTGAAAAAGAGAAGCACACACACCGCTTCTGTTGGGCCAATGAAGAAGTGCGCTCATTAAAACATATGTATACAATTATTTTTCAGATAAAGCTCAGGGTGAACCTCTACTTTTGAGGGGGGTTTTTTGCTAGAAGCCAGATTTGCACAATACTAAATGGCCAGCCCTTATGCCAGTCACAAAGCCAACTTCTTCTTCTCTCCAAACGGTGTTTAAAAAATCAAGGCAAACACCAAGGAACACCTATCAGAGAAACACGCTAGGTGTTTGAAGAGACAAAAGAAGCAGTTAGTCGGCATGAAACATGGGGGAGAGAGGCAAACTGAAAAAGGCAATCAGAATTCAATTCATACTGGGGTAGATAAGAGCTTACTCTACAGGTCAAAACCCATTATGAACTCCAATCCGTAAGTAAATAAGTTTAAAGAAAAACTGGAGTGGGGGGGGGGGTCTTCTGTATTTCTATGGTAGTCAAATCAGGCCTGAGACACAGTGAAACTGAAGTAATTTGCATTCACACTCCTAGCCATATGTCTCAAAGTTTGCACCACCATGAAAAACATGAATTTGCTCAAATCTTAATTCTCTTAACAGTAGAAAGTAAGGGGGAGGGGGGAGAGAGAATACATTTAGAAAGTTATGCTTACCATCTGGATTATTTGCAGTTGTCAGCAGTACCAGCAGGGAAGTTAATGAATCTGGCAAGTTGTGAAAATATCCTTGCCATTCCTTGTCCTGCTGGGCATCCTAGTCACAGAGAGCCAAGCCATTAGCAAAGCAATGCCAAGAGTCTGCCACAGCCATTTAAGAAGCATGCACAAGTCCTGGGATCACACTGTCTGACCCAAGTGCATGATGTGATGCCAGGCACACACGCGCGCGCACACACACACACACAACTAGCTTATCAGGCAGAATAGGACTGTGGAAGATTGGGACCACACATCACAATGTTACAATCAAACCAGTTACTTCTGACTTCAGATAGACAGGTGAGTACTTCAGAAAAATGTAATATAAAACATGATATTCATTAAATTTCCACAAGACATACAACTAGTCTCAGGTGGCACTTTTTCTACTCTACTTGCACATAACAACATCATATATGAGCATCTTCCCAAAGTGGTCTTGTCTGAACTAGTGTATGAATACTAAGATGACTAGAATTAAGCTAGAATCTCAAAAAAAAAAAAGAATATTCTTGATATAATATTGCATTTTAATATCTATATAATTCTTCAACATTTTATCATTTTTGTATCGTTATCATAAACTGGCAGATTTGCAAACTATAACCCAAGAAAACCAATGGACTTTTATTTTTCCCAATGTTGTATTTAGAAAGCAAAAACATTTTTAAAAACCTGAGGGAAGGAAGGCAGCTGGGGGGGGCACCTAGAACAGAAAATATTCAAGCAGCAAAATGGTTAAGTATCCGCTTCTGCTTGAGAACTGGAGCTGTGTTACAGAGATTTGTTCCTTACAAGCAGTCAGCTTCTAAGTGAATATGCTGGAAGAGAATTGGTACCAAATATATATTGGTACTATATACATGGGCTTGTGTGTGTTCGCACATACACACACATATACCCACAGGAATAAGACTTCTGTATTTAAATGCACAGCAAAGTTCAGCGTGCAAAGATTCAAGAAAGACACAGTGAAATGAAGACATCCGTCTTCTACACAGGCATTTATTTTTGAGTTTGTGGTGGTTTGCATGTGGTAACTATCACCTCAGTTTTTCTTAGAGGGAACAGTTTGTGGGGAAAGCTATCATGCTGGAGCGTTTCATATATGTAATTTCTCTTATATGATTGGTCATGATATGGCAAGGGGGATTACCACTTTCTCCCTTGGAAAGTGCAAAGAGCTGAGGGAGGGAACTGAAAAGGGGAAGCTGGAGGAGTGATACTCTTTCCCACTTTTTTCAGCTCTATCCGCTTTTCAGGCTAATTCTGCTGGATCCAACTTTTACAAAGATCCTCTGGGAAAGCAAAGTGTGTACACACAAGCTTTATTTCCTTCTGATAAAGGAGGGAAATAATCCAGACCTATCATAACACTATGTCTGAAACACAGAAAAGATAGCAGACATTTCAGAAAGGGGCAATACTTTTCCCCAAAAAAACTTATTACATTTGCCAACATTTCTGACAATGCTTTCAAGACAACCAAACCCTACATGAATCGTTCACGTTAGTTACCTTCGTTCGAGCAAACAGCAGCATGCCAAACATGGTAAAGAGAAACAGGTGAACAGCTAATAGCAGCATAACACTATTAGGGAGAAAGCACAAATGCCAAAATTAGTTCTTTCATTAATATATAAGAAGGATGCAAATGGAGAGATGTCAGACTACAACATTCAAATAAACCAGAATACAGCATTTTGAGGAGGAGGAGGAGGAGGAGGAGGAGGAGGAGGAGGAGGAGGAAGAAGAAGAAGAAGAAGAAGAAGAAGAAGAAGAAGAAGAAGAAGAAGAAGAAGAAGAAGAAGTAGTTCCCCTCTATTCAGGAAATAATTTCTTTGGCTGAGGCATTTAAGTTATAGCAAATTTAGTCAAAACGTGGGAAGAATGAGGATAAGAACATAGTACTTTTGTACATCTTCTTATGGTAATGTAGAACTTTTCCTTGATAGATCCCTCTCAACAAGTTTCCACTATACTCCAAAGACCCCAAAATTCACCCTCAACTTGCAAATATTGTGCCAGAAGATTATCATCAAGATGGTTTTCCTGGCTTCTCCCCACTTCCAACTGATTCCCAACCAGTCATTCCTTCAGGCATTTCCCAATTTCTACCCTTAGTTATGGTAGTGTGGTGACCCAAGTCATACTTTATGGTAAATCATAATTAACAGTTTACTGCCATCCAGATGTTGCATGGCCTATGGCCAAGGATGATGAGAGGTGTAGTCAAACATCTGGAGGGCCACAGGCTCCCCACCCCAGGTTTACCATGAACACAATAATCTGGGTTGTTTTCTCACTTCCCACTGGTTCATAGAAGACAAAACCATCTTCTGTCCCTGGCTTAGTGTTATGTCTGAAGTGGGGACCATGGTTTGTTTTGCTCATACAAACCATAATCATCATTCCAAAAACAAATCAGACATGAAACGTGGGTTGTTTTATCCACACACTACGGGCAGGAGCAAAACATCCCAGATTGACATGTCATGGTAAACAACTGTGGTGTGCAAACTGGGCCACTATGGGGAAGTAAAGCCTACAGTATTTATTGATTTCTTATCTGCAGGCTGGAAGATAGTTGCTCTATTACTCCTTATTACCTTGTAATTTCTGGCAATGTCCTCTTGATGCTTTTTAGTGTCTTTTTCATCATTGAAGAGTTCTGAAGGAGGAAGAAAGGACGGAGGATTCGCCGTATTCTCAGACTCTAAGATTGAAGGGGATAAATTTTGCACTTGTTAATGACAAAAAAGCCAGCATCCAAACCAGAGAATTAATTTGCTTTTTAATGCAATGTCCACATGGGCTGCTCAAGCTGAACAGTAAAATTTAGTTTTGCAAAATATAATGCAAGCACAAAAGGGAATAATTTCTTTATTTTTTTAACTGGAAGGCTGGTAACGAGACAAACAGGCAACATTTGATCACCCACATGATGTAATGACTACCAGTGTATAAATGGATGACAAGAAAGAAAAACAAGGTTTGAACAAATTAACTGGAGGCGGGGAAAACATTAACGATTAACCAAGGTGAATGCTCATTTTGGGGCCACCTCAGTGATTGTGTTCCTTGTGGAATTCCCCCATCAGAGATATCCAACAGGCGGCAACAATGCTATCATTTAAGGGCCATGCAGAAAACTTTTGTGTTCTTTCAGGTGTTTTAATGTATTTCCTTTTTTTAACAGATTGCTGCAGAGAGTGGAATTGGTTTTGGGGTATCTTGGTTTTGGGGGGTTTTATGTAAACTGCCCTGGAAGTTCTGCTGAATTGTGGCTGAATTGTGGCATAAAAATGTTTTCAATAAATAAATAGACACTTTCCAACTTAAGACTTCATATGTTAGCTAAATGCCACTAGAAAACTCTTTGTTGCTGTTGTTGCTAGAACAGGTTAACCTGAGAATTCTTTAGAATGCTTTGAAGTCCGACAGAGGAAGGAAAAGATGGTTTGCTTCAGCTGCACCTGTTTTCACTGATATTGACAGTGGCATACTGAACCCTCACACAGCTAGCCAAGGAGAGAAGGACCTCAGGCCTTCTCCAAGCGATCAGCTCATCAGATGCAAAGTTTATATCTTTTGCAGTCATTGAAATAATAACCTTGGCATAAAATTCTGCAGATGGAGCAAAGCACAAAACTCTTCCTCTTTAGTTCTTCATTTGGTTATCTTCATTTCCAGTGTGGGAGTTATTTCTAGTCAGCATACGTTCCAGGAAGAAAGTACAGGTACCAGAAGGGATGTTTCCAAAATCATTTTAAAAAACGCAGCAAGTAGAAACACCACTGAAACAAACATACTTTCCAAAGAAAGCAAACTTCAAACACTCATACCTGGCTCAGCTGTTATAGAACTGGGTGTCAACCGCATATTAGGGATGCCTTGTTCCAGCCTTCTGCATGCAAAGCAGAAACTCTGTCACTGAGCTATGGCCTCTCCTTGTGGGGTTTACCGGCTAGTAATTCACAGCTTGGTTATAATGTATTATTGTTTACAGTGGTTTGAATGACATTGTGTTGCTGTTATGGGCATTTTGTTGTACTGTGTTTATATATTGTGAACTGCTCCAGCATCGTGTCAATGAAACGTAGTACAGTGGTACCTCGGGTTACATACGCTTCAGGTTACAGACTCCGCTAACCCAGAAATAGTGCTTCAGGTTAAGAACTTTGCTTCAGGATGAGAACAGAAATTGTGTGGCGGTGGCGCGGCGGCAGCAGGAGGCCCCATTAGCTAAAGTGGTGCTTCAGGTTAAGAACAGTTTCAGGTTAAGAACAGACCTCCAGAACGAATTAAGTACTTAACCCAAGGTACCACTGTATAGAGATATTTTAAATATAATAAAATTAAAAAGTTAAACACTACAAGGTTACCCAGTGTGCTTCAGGACTGAATGGAGATTTGAACTTTGAGTTGAGATGCCAATATGGTATGAAGGCTAGAGTGTTAAAATGAAATGAGGGAGACCCAGATTCAAGTTCCCACTTAGATAGGAAGTGCTCTGGGTGACTCTGGGCCTAACCTACAGGGTTGTCACAGGGTTGTCATGAGGATAACATGGTGGAGGAAGAGGTTAGGAGAAGGAAGACAGGATAAAAAGGCCAATGACAACAACTTCACAGCAGAGTGGGACTTTGAGCTGTGCTTGCTCCAAGTTGTAAGTATATAAGCAGAGGATGCTCTCGGATTACAAACTCAAAAGTTTTGCAAAAGTGAAAATGTTTTTGTTGCTTGCTCAACTGTGAAGTGCTACTTGCTCAATCTGACCCTCCTTCCCTGTAGCCCCTGCCTCAGTGACATACACACATATAATCCTTACCTCACCACAGGAAGAGCTCAGCGAAACAGTCCAGTCTGCAAGGGAGACTACTAGCACCACGATATATGCCATCAACCACTTGGTTTTCCGAAACTCTTCCCATCCTATTAAGTAACTCTGATGAAGCAATACAATACATGTTTAAACAGTCGTTAGATCATTGTAACATTTTCTTTTGCAGAAAGATTTACAAAACTAAAGTGCGACTAATTTTGATATACTCTTTCTAAAAACGGCTGGACCAGTCATCGTGAAAATGAAGCCTTCACCGATGGGGAGGCTTTTCAAAAGAACCATTTCCTAATTTTCCCACTTCTGAAGCATAGAGCCCAGAATCATGTTGGAATTCATTGGTTATTCCATATATTCCACATAGGGAAGTGTGGGCAATTCAAATGCACCTCATGAACCGGGAGATTTTCTAAGTGGAATTAAATGTGTCATCGCTCACCTTTACAGAGACATCTGCTATAAAGACAAGGAAGCAAAGCAGTTCAATGCTCTCCGTCAAGCCACAAGGAGGCTCCCAGGGTTTCAAGCGGTATCGTATGTCCGACGTGACAGTAAATGAAGAAGGCGTTTCGATGAAAGCAAGAGCCAGGATTAGTGTAATGGTGGCAATCAAAATCCTTTAAGAGCAAAGGAAGATCAATGTGATTACTGAATGAAAAACATATCCTCCTAAAAGCTACTTGGCCAAAAAGAACTGTGCAAGATACAGCCATACAATCGCTTAATATCAGGAGCAGTCAAAAGGCATAGTATATGGGACTGAGCCTAACTGGACAACTGAAAGCCTTTTTATAGCACGATGATGTGCGATTGTTACCTCCCTGAAAAGTGATAGTACAGCAGAAAGAGATCAAGCCCTTCATTCCAATTTCTTTGGACCGAAAGCCGGCCAAGCCATTCAGGCATCACCTAGTACATTCAGTGACATGCTTTTAGTTCAGAAATCCAAAAACAAATAAAAATGGCTTCAGCTCACAGGATCAGCTCAGACAGGCTTTTGCTCCACATCCAAGTAGTGCTAACTGTTCTCTAAACAAGGACCAGAGGGGCATACGAATGATGAGAGCAAAAAAATTCAGCCAGCTGCAGCACCATTTCTTTTCCAGCTATTGCTGCCAGTTATACCTGCAATTGCTTGGTTCACATGTTACACTGTTAGGCGAATGCATATCTTAGGTTGGTAAGGATAGCTTGCCCTTGGAAGAGGGTGAAAGTTTTGTGTGGACTGATACATGATGAAGCGACTGTATCTACAACAGTGTGAATAGCTGATACGATGACTATTAATAGTAAGACCATTTTTAAAAAAATAGTTTTTATTTGAGGTTTTTTCTGTTACAAAACAAACTAACAGGGGAAAGTACATATAGTGTCTCTACTTTAGAATCTTTTTCACAGTTCATTTATATTCAGCATGAGACACTATTGTCAGAGACACCGTGAAGCTGGGGGAAAGAGGGGAGAGAGGGAGGGAGAGGGTGGGGATAATGAACTTTTATTCTATTGCATAGTGTTTGTGCAGGGTTTTTGGGTCAGCATCACCTAAGTAGATGTTTTATTTATATATGGGTTCATTTTTATTGGCATTGCTAGAGATTGGGATGGAGATGTTCCAGAGCTTGGTTGGTTGTGGTTGGTTGATTTGCAGCATGGTTTGTTTACATGCGTTAGAGGGGCGAATGTTTGGGTCTTATTAGCCATATTGATTTGTATGCTGGGGGGGGGGTTGGGGGGGATAGGCAACCACCCTACTAGAAAAGTTAACCAACAAACTTAAACTAGCACAGGGACAATCAAAGGAGGACACCTTCACCCCAGTGTGGCTCCCCTTTATCAAATATACAACGCAACAAGACAATGACCTAATGGTAGTACCATTGTTACTGCTGCAGTGCTCACAGAGAGGCCTTTAAAAATGTAGCTGACAAAACCAAGCCCTTTTTTGCAATAGCGAACACTGCAGATCAGGCATGGGGAATCTCTGGCCCTCCAAATGTTGCTGAACCACAATTCCCATCAACACCAGCAAGCGCTGCCAATGGCAACAGTTGGTGGAAGTTGTGGTTCAGCAACATCTGGAGGGCCAAGATACCCCACACCTGCTATAGATACCACACATATTTCAGTGATATTCCTCACTTTCAAGCCATGAGGATTTAAATGATCACCGACACATTTTGGCATTCCTGTCATTTGCAACTAAGCTTGTAAGAATCTGGAAATGTGACATTTCCTAGCTTAGGAGATGAAGGTTGGCAAAGTCGGGAACTGGTGCTGAACTATGACAGGTTATTTTCAGTAGCAACCCATGACCTATGGAACGCCCTTGGGGAGGGTATCATTGGCCTACGTTATTAATGTTTAGGCAGGATTTTTAAAGCATTCCTGTTCGCTCACACATTTGGTGGCTGAAAAATACATTCTGGCAGCTTTCAAATGATTACTTGTGAGGATATTTGGCTTGTTTTCTAAACAAGTAAATTTGTTTTGTTGTTTGGCACTCTGGGGTACTTTGGGAAGAAGGGCAGAAATAAAGGATGGTTAATAACATGGAATGTATCACAACTTAAAAACAGGGTAGAGGGTATCTGCATTTATTTTTGTAATCCTGGGAATTTTTCTTAAGGATTTCTTTTTAAAAATGAATTGACAATATGACAACACTCGCAACCTGTGAACAGAATGCTTACAGATGCAGACTTTGCTTGGATAAATATGATAATATTTATGCAAAATGTAGTAGGCTATTAACATTTACATACTGTAAGTATTAAGGATAATAACACAATATCAATTTATATAAGAATATATGGAAATATATTTCATTTTTGCATATCTGTCTATCTATCTATTCTTTTTCATATGTGTCTTTGTTGTTATTTTCCCCTTACTTTCCTTTCTTTTTTTTCTGTTTCACTTTATTTCTTTTAATTGAAATAACTTCCAAAAAAATATAAATAACCAAAAAAAGAAAAAGGAAGAAATAAGAAATATAGGTGGTATTCACTAAACAGGATTAACACCAGCACAATGGGTTTGCCCCCTCTTCCCCACGCTATCCCCAAAGCTACTCTGGAGGGTTGGGGGATCCCCCAGAACAGATGCAGGGGGGCACAGAGGAGGAGCACATTCTACTTAACATTATGTTGAATTCAACCCGTGGTTGAAATCCTATGTATACTTTCCCAGGAGTAAGTTCTCTTGAACGCAGTGGGTTGTATTTCTGAGTAGACATGCATAGGATTGTGCTGTTGGGTCTTAACTATTCAACCATTTCTGGTTTCCCATACCTCTGCTTTCATCCAGTGGGGTGTTATGCTATCACAAGAGCAGGCAAAAGTGCAAATTCCGTTTCATCTTAAACGGAATTTTAAAATGTGGCTGAAACACTCTAATAAGGCCTCTGACTAAAAGGTTGGTGGGGAACAGCCGCTGTGGAGTGCTGCTACACTCACATTCTGTCTGTGAGGTTTTCCACAGGCATCTGGTTGGACAGGGGCAACTTTATATCTGTGATGACCAGCAATATTTGTAGCAATGTCACATTGTTTAGCAAAAGGTCTCTTTCTCCAGCCTACCAACTTGGGAGTGCTGGAGAGAGGCATCATGGTTATTGCTGCAAAATGAAAGTGGCCAACGTAGCTTGCTGACTTGCAGAAGCCAGATAGGAAATCCCAAGAGGGATAGTTAGGAAAATACAAAAATGCCTTGGATTGACAGAGGAACCAAGGATTTGTAGAGTCAGAGAGTGACAGAGGCTCTAAGCATCAGAGAATAAGCAAGAGAAAAGAGCCCAGTTTCTCACCATTGGCAAACTTCTGAGTAATACCGCCGATAAAGCCACAGGAGTAAGAATCCACACGGTGATTTATGGAACGATACTAGAGAGATGAAAGGAAAGATTGATCACTCAGGCATCACAATTGCTTCTGTTATTCAAAGTCAAGCCATATCAATTTATACAGGCATGCACTATTCAAGGCAACATCCACTAACCTTTAAAACAAGCTGATTTCCCAACACGGAATGGCTCTTACAAGTGTCATGAGCAATATTATGCAATCCCGGTTGTCCAAAGAGATGAAAACACAAATATGCAGAAATCAAGCTTCCCTAAAATTATTTAGGGCAGTCTCTTACTGCACAGCTGGTAAGACCGGACTGCTGAGCCTAACATTAATTTAACTGTGTGCCACAAACTGGCAGCTCACCAGGAAAACAGAATACTCAAGTCCTATGCAATAGTTTATTTTGCTGGGCACTAATCAGTTATCTCCACTTTGGCCATAGCCTGGCAGATGAGAAATTTACCTGAATTGCATCTTCAATGAACACTACTGCTTGGTTCAAGTAGGGATTTTGGTCATCGGCAACTGCAAAGATACAACAGTCATTTCTGTGATCCCAACAAAGCTAATACCTAGTTTCATTAATCATGAAGATCCCACACAAAGTGTTGGTATTGCTTAATTTAGCCTTTTGGCTGCTGAGGCTGTCAGACTATGTGTCATCACATCTCAAGCATCTTTCAGTGAATACAATAGGAGAAGGAAGGAGGAAAGGAAGCTGAGAGCCTTTCTACCATCAGGATTAAGACAAGGCTCTGTGTATTAATACAAGCACTGGATTTTAGGTTATCTAAACCAATATCACAGCAGTAATGACGTGAACATTCATGTGTTAGCCTTATACCTATCTCTGCTGTGCTGAGCTTGCATATATTAGGAAGGAAGACTGAAGATGCCACCAGTGCCAAATTTGTGCTAAAACAAACAAACAAAAATCGAGGAGAAATCTGTAATGTTCCCCTTAAAGCAGAGATGGAGAACCTTCAGCCTTTGGGCAAATCATGGTCCAGCAGGGGTTCCAATATGGCACATGAGACCATTTTTCTTAAACCATGGCCACCTGACAATTTGGTAACATCATCCTAATGGGTGGGTGAAATCGCCTTAATGGCAGGACACCATACTGCTTCATTAGTTTCCTTTAGAAATGGTCCAGAGTTTATTGCTAATGTGCCCAAAAAGTCCTCTTTTTCTAAAGAGCCAGAATCCTATATAGTCATATTTCAGGAACCTTGGCATCAAGAAAAAAAGTATTTTTGAATTACTGGCTAATCTTCAGCTTTTTTGTGTGGTTGAACCTTCAAAAACTAATGTTGATTGAGTGGTCCGGAAGGAATATGAGGGGCCACTCACAATTACCCCTTTGATCATGATTTCAGTCATTTTGGACAGTTTCCTGGTTAACAGGATGCGACAAGAATGTTCTGGCTCCCACCTATTTCCTTTCTGATTTCCAGCTGCGATCACATCTACATGCTAAAGCATGTCCAGTGAGAAATTCCATGTGCAGCGCAATGCTCTGCATATTTGCTCTGAAGTAATTCTCACTGTGCTCCTCAGAGCTTCCTCCCTAATATGTCTTCTTAGGCTTGCAACCTAAGACACTCTTGATTTACTTCAAAACTGCCTCATACATATGAGGTAATTTTCACATTGTTTACCGCTTCCCTCTTGTTTAAGATGAAAGAGTTTAACTCAAGGAAACAGCAGCAATTGTAAATAGAGGGTTGCAGCAGATTACCCCTCATTTAGTGCTGTCCTTACTTTCACTCTCCTCCACCGAGGGCATGCAGGCAAGTAAATTAGCAGAGGGAGTACTGACAAATCAGCATGGTGAAAGCAATTACAGGAAAGCAGCAACAAGCCATTCCTGTAACAAGCAAGTCTGAGACTTTTGGATACAAAGTTGCACCCAAAATAGGCAGTGAGCCAACAAGCAAGATCACATATCAGGCTCTATGGGATAAGAAGCTCTAGAAGCAAACATGCATGTTAAGAGAAGAGCTGTGCTCTTGCATCACTCCTATCCATTGTAATGAAGCTTGTGAAGAAGTTCTTGGTGGACTGGGGTCCAAATCCTAAAAGTGGACACCAGGGAATGCAACAGAAGCACTCAAGAGACAAGTGTATATTTATGCATTGCCCTTCTAAAGCCAGAATAGCTCAGGAGAAGGAACCTCCATCCCAGACATAGCCAACATGGTACCCTTCAGATGTTTTGGACTGCAAATTGCATCATCAATGGTCAATGGTTAGGGATAATGGAAGTTGTGATCCACATCTGCAAGGCGCATTGACTTCCCATGTTCTAGCTCCTTGTCTGCAGGAGATAAAAATTTGGAACATACTGCAAAGCTCACAGCAGGCTGCCCAGCTCAGATACCCAGTGAGCTTCCCTTTCTTCCAGTTTTGCAACTGAAGTGACAGCTGTATATAGAAGGAAACAAATGCCAATGCTGCCATGATGGGTCTTGACCCTATGCTGCTTTGCACAGGCTGCCCAACATTTTAAAAAGCACCATTTGCAAGTTAATCTATTCAATTAATATTTTTTAAAGGAAACGTTTTAAAGTGCAAAATTGCCCTGAAGATGGAAAAAGAGGAAATTGGGGGCTAGACTATGGCCATCAGTCAATCAGTCTTGTGCAAACAAACTTCTGCTGCAAACTTGCAGAACTACTCCCACCACCACACAAAGTTCCACATTAGAAGGAATGGTGCATCTGAACTGAACACAGTGATGTACCTTCAGTGTCGAAGGTGGTATGCTTCCAGTGTTAGAAACTGGGATAGAAAAGCTAGGAGCCAAATGACTCCTGGTACCTGAGTTGTGGGCGCCAAAACAGAATGTCTAGTCACCGGGGGGGGGGGGAGTTGGCAACACTTTTTATTTATTACTTTGATAATATGCAATTCACATAAGTGACACATTGTTAATACTAGATTTTTAACATAAATTGTTAATACATGTTTAATTTGGTGTTTAAAAAAAAATTGGTACCATACTTCTGTTTTCAAAACACTCTACTCTTTATTGTTAAACTCCTTAACATATTGTCTATCCTTAACATACACTACGAAGCTTCAAAGAACGTATATTTCAGTAATCCTTGAGTGTCAGCCAGGTGCAAAAAATGGCACCCAGGCTTTCGGAGGTGCTCTTTAGGTGCAAAATGCACCTGGCACCCTGCTAATTTCGAACCCTGTATGCCTCTGAATACTAATCACTGGGGATGTATATAGAGAGAGTGCTGCTGCACTCATGCCCTTCTAGCGGATTTCCTGTAGGCATTTTGTTGGCCACTGATGCTAGACTAGATGGACCTTTGGCATGATCCAGCAAGGGCTCTCTGTATGTTCTTAGATGCTTCAAACGCAGCCACCCTGTTCTAAAAATGTTGTGCCCTTCTCTTAAGCCAAGTATTCACATTGTCCAGGAAAGTATGAACAAATGATTTCCAAATGTTATTGTGGGTGGAACTTGGGTGTGCCCTAGAGATTATAGGGAGAGTGACTTCTCAACTGAATGACTGAATGACTAATCACCAACACAGATGAATCGTCTGTTAAAAACTTGGATGTAAATGGTGCCAGTCACTACGCTGACATTTATCTTAGCACTGTGCATCTATAGTACTTTATAGAGTTCAAATAATTCAGGGAAAAGGCACAAAAGTCTGAGCTAGACTTAGCCATTGCAAATGCAAATGACAGATGGGAGTGCATGGAATCCTTGCTGAAACAATATGTAAACATGTTCTATGAAAATTGATTGCTTTCCTACTGTTATGTGAACTGTGGAGTTACTGTTCTGTATTTATTGGGAGGGTATCACTTCACAGCCCAGTATCCCTGGGGATGTGGCAGTGGACCTGCAACATTCTAGGCCATGGAATCGTTTGTACGATTTAACATGGATGGATTAGTAAATGGCTCTGTAATCCAGAAATTCAGACAGTCAATTAGCAGATCTGCTGTACCACTTCCATCACAGAAGTTGACACAAGGCACAAGAAGTATGCATCCAATGTTGATGTTTCATTGTACCATCTAAAGTACAGGCTCTATAGGTA